AAACGAGTCAAACGAGGATCCATTGCACTAATGAACACAGAATGGCAGTCAGGTTTCTAACTCATTTTCACCGGTTTTGTATGGGCTTTTGATGACGTCGATCATGAAGTAGTTTAGCAATCATTTCAACAGTACGGAGTGCCTCAGTCATCTATAAGTTTCATTCAGTGGCTACGCGGTGATGCCAAATAAGTTACAGCATGAATCTTAATGAAGCATTTGAAATAACGACGGGAATAAAACAAGGCTGTCCACAATCTCCAATGATTGACTCGTCTGTGGTGAAATGGATCACGTGATATGCCTTGGGAGTGGTAAGACTCGTATACATCCGACTGAAGAAAACACCCTAGGAGAACTGGAATTTGCAGATGATTTGTATCTCATGTTGAAAAAAACTCGAAGATTCGCAGATGAAAACTAACGGTTTTGTAGAAGTGCCAGTGAATACAAGAATTTAGACGAAAATGGAGGAGATGGATGTAGTAAAGATGCCTAAACAACACCAAGTGCCAGTCACTATCATCCAGAGAAATCCAAGGCGGCATCATTTAAACTACAGACGGCTGTGGATATCAAAGCCAGTTATGATCAGACTAGGAAAGCAAAAGAGTTGCTCATCACTCTAAAATGAGTGTGGAAATGGTGTGTGTGTGTGTGAGAGAGAGAGAGGGGGGAAATGGAAGCTCGTGGGCAATCGTGGAGTCATTTGAACGCGGGAACTAAGTGAAATGAAGATATGCCAGTGATTTCAAAATTTGCAAACATGATCATCCACTCTTCATTGGGCAACTCTTTTGTGCATTTCTTATTTATCGAGAAACTAGTTATTGCTTCTTTTAAGATTTAACTCAGTATACTACTTATGTATATTTATTAGTAAAACAAAATTATATATTTATCTGAGTTTAAGGTTATCCCGTCGATTGATTGGACTGAAGTGCTCGGTCTTAGGCTGACATGTCAGCTTCTTGTGCGGATGCTTTGACGATGTCTGGGCATGTAATTAGGATTTAATTAGTGGATGGTGACTAGCAGTGGAATCCAGGATGCACTGAGTTCGAGCCTTGGTGGGAACACCATCACTCACTGGGGAATGCAGGTCAATCCAACTTACGAGTCCCAAATAGGACGAAATGCGCATCCTGGATCCCACTGCTAGTCACCATCCACCAATTAAATTCAAAAATTATGTGACAAAATGTCAATGAATTTCAGGATTTCATCATGAGCTGACATTAGTTAGAGAACCATTGGAAAACCTGGGAGTACTGGACAGCTGTTTCGTCCTAGTTTGGGACTCCCGGCGGATGCGTACTGCTGAAGAGTCCCAAATAGGACGAAACAGCTGTCCAGTACTCCCAGGTTTTCCAATGGTTCTCTAACTAATGTCAGCTCATGATGAAATCCTGTAACCAATCAAATCCCTACAAACCAACGCTTGAATGTCAATGAATTTGTTGAAAAGCGACTTTTTGTTAGACTTGCCGTTTCCAATTCAGGATAACACTTGAGCGATGACCTCGAGAGAGATATGCGCCAAAGGTCTCATTAGTTGCGTGTGTCCAATCTACCTCTATTCTCTTCTCCACGCTTACTGGACACCCTTATTGAATCGACCTAGGTTGTGATCCATATATCATCGAACTGCTTTTCGTTTGATGTTCCTCTTGCTTCGTGGCTTGACCATCTTAGATTCAGTCACTGGTGGAATCATGAGTGTGAACTACAGATGAATCATAAACTAGGGGAAACCTGCAGTTCAGCGGTCCGTGATGTGAAATTGCTCTCTGACTGCTATTGGTTCTTGGCTAGTTCAACCTTTAAATATTACGTCTTTTCAAACCCGGTAGTATTCATATGAACACTTAAGGCATAAATTGTTCAGCTAAAAGGATAACAGTTAGAGACCCATTCAAAATGAGCGCTGGAGTACGAGATAGCTGTTTCGTTAGCCTACTTTCGGACTCACAGACTGTACTCACTCACCAACAAGGTTCGAACCCAAGACCTTCTCGTTGCCAGTCAACCCTGTAGACCATTCAGTCAATGAGACGACTTAGTGGTTATTTCATGGATTTTGACTTCCACCAAATCGTGATTTTAGCGTGACTTGCATCAGCCAGTGTCACCTCTGGCGAGTATTTTCTTTAACTCATAAATGAGTGAACTCCACTGGTCACAACTTCTCACTAGAACTTCAGACAACATCGTCCTACGGTGAGTCACTAACAGAAATCAGAATTATCCACAAGAGTTTGTTTCTAGGGATTTGATTGGTTTCAAGTTGGACCATGAATCGATACGGGTTAAAGAAGCACTGGAGTACCGGAGAGATGTTTTATCCTATTTTAGGGCTCAATTGTAGTCTGTAATCAAATCAGATCAATATAGACAACCTCGTAAAGGGATTATCATTGTCATAATTGAATGCACAGTTTTAAAATAGGTGACATTTAAATTTGGAGACTTCAAACAGGTAGCCGTTTTATCTCATTTAATCTATCAGTCTGATGACATTTTCCATAAACTATATGAATGATGGACTGAAAAAAATTCACGCAAATTTATGGTGAATTTTAAAATTCCCTACAGACTCACTTCATAAAAGTAAACAAAAAACAATTAGGAACCACAGTGAAGAATAACTAGATTAACATTGGTAAATATTACCAGAGTTTGAAGGACTGAAAAAGATGAATAAGTTCGTGACATTCCGGATGATCTCCATTCATCATTTATTTATTTATTACCATTACTATTATTAATATTCCCCAGGGTTCTGAGTGCAACATAGGCTTTTAAAAGCATATATCAATTTTGTCCTATTTCCAGCAGTCCTCTATAGCTGGAATCATGATTCCCCAGGGTCTCTCGTCTCCTCCCCACACAATCTCCTCCATAGGACTCTCGAACAACCAACTCGTCGTTAAATATTCGGGCTCCACCTTCTCCTTAGTGGCATGTGTCCGATCCAACTCCATTCTCTTCTGCTTATTTGCTGAGTGACAGATTTTTGATTGATTCGTCACTAGACCTCTTTGTTCGAGACTTATTCTTCCTCACCAGACATTTGATTCTCAATATGGGACCAGAGAAAGGAGCAACTGTTGATAGAAGTCTTCAGGCGGTTGTCAGTAATGCCTTTGGTGAGGCGTAAGCCAATTTTCTGACCCATAAAGAAGAAGCGAGTGACTGGATTTACATTGGTGTCGATAATCCGAAGTTTGTTGTTTACTCTGAGATGGAGCGTAGAATACTTCTAAACTGATTTCAGAATGGTGGATATCCATCCTGCCTTTCGGATCCTGACTGACTGGATTTGAAATCCTCACCCGTGTAGTCCGCCTGTAATTGAAACGATGCTGTCTAGTCAGATGAGTGAAGGAAGTGACCTCTCTCAAATTTCCCTAATCGATAGTCAGTGATTCGTGTTTGATGTTGGTGTTGCTGGTTGATTGGGTGATTAGTTGGTTCTTCATCTTCATCACCTCCGTCTTCTTTACGTTCATCATTTCAAGTCGTATCTTCGCTGCCTGCCTCTCCCACCAACTTCTTTGTTTTCTCATGTGAGCCTTGCATTTGTGTAACATGAGACATAAGTCGTCGGCGAAGTGTAGATCTTCTTCCAGATTACCCCTCGCCTATCACTCCGCATGTGCGGTCTTTCGTATAATCAAGTCCATCGCAATCAGGAATTTCATCATCGGTGCTGGCTGTTTGCTAGCTAGCTCTACCTTACCCTTGTGTTCACTCCAAACGCTCGTTTTATTATTATTATTATATTATTATTGTTCCCTTGGGTTCCTAGTGGAACATAGGGCTTCAACTGAAAGTCTCCAATTGCTTCTGTCTTCTACTGTACTTTTCACTTGCATCCATGCTAGTCATACTCTTTCAACTCCTCTTTACACGACCTCTTCCATGTCACCCTTTGCATTGACGTCCCACTCGCTGCTTCTCTTTCAGCCTGGTCCTACTCGAGCAATGGCCTGACGCGCGCGCAATGTCACCCAGCGGCGGCCTCTTCATCCGCGAGTGTCCAATCCACCTACACTTTCTCCTGCATATTTGTTAGTTGGCGATTGGTTCTTGTTTTGTTTGTTCCCAGCCATAGTTTCTAGTTGGTGATTCTTTCCGGCCAGGCCATCTGATCTTCAGTATAGAGCCAGCGAAGATAGTTGTTGGTTGATTAAGAACTGCAACAGGCCTTTGGAATATTCTTTGTGACGCGCCGAGTTTCTGATCTGACGTTTCTAATGTAGATCCGGCCAAATTTTGTGATTGATGCAGAGTGACGAAGATTTCCAGACTGGTTTCAGGTTGATGAATGAACGCTCGTTTCAGTTCTTCGTTGTGCATCACTTGATACGTGGCACTGTCGTATGTCTGCTAGATGAGGGTGAGAATGATCTGGGGTACTATACCCCATAGAGTTGAACTAGTTTATGAATTTCTTTTTATTCATCTTATAATTAGGCATTAACTAGTGGCTTATCGGTACCTCTTCGTAGCCTTAAAATCTTTTCAGTCAGTCACTGGTTGAGTCGTCAGTTTCCACAGTTGAAGATTCTGAAAGGAGAACAAAACACCATTCATTTTCTTGGCTTCTCGGAATGACATCAATTCATCAAGAAATCTACTTTGGGATTTAGTTTAACTGATGTAACAATTCTGTCTAAGCTATGTGAATTATTCTAGAAGCATTATATTTATGAGCTGGGTGCACAATATGCGACACATTCATTCAATACTGAAATAACTCCGGCTGGTGGGAACTGATTGTGACAACTTCCAGTATTCGAAAGTTCAGATTGTTCTTCTCTTGATATGTTTAATGACCCAGAGTAAGTGATGCTCTACGGACTGTAGAGGAACCCTAAATCGATTTCTTCAAAATGTGTACCTTTACGTCAGTCCCACATATTTCAAGGGTTAGTAAGTAAACCTTTCCTAATCATTTTGTTAACATCTTCTCTCCTTTTTTCCTCTCTTCACAGCGATTATCTCAACCACAATATCTATCGAAGATGAAGTAACATTTGAGCATAGGGATTTATTAAACTTATGGAGGGATTATACAAACTCGATAATCAAGACAAAATCACATCCAGTTGATCGGTTGACTGAATTCATCATTGATTTTAGAACAAATCGAAGCGATTTGGTAAGCAATAAAGATTTGGTTTTCTGCATGAAAAATATATTTGTATATACATGTATAACCTCATATAGTTCAACAGTTCACTAGATTTCTAGCAGGTCCATAGCCTGGGAAAGGAGAGTAGGTTGGCTGTTAGGATTGCCACTCTATCTAATCAATTCAAACACTACACAAACTTCAAACCATTAAAAAAATATAAAACATAAACTTATTCCTCTCTGTAATCAGGAGATGGAACGTCTCTATGGGCTGGTGAAAGCCTATGAGAAGTCAATCAGTTGATGTGTCTTCTTCTTAAGATGAAATCAGAAATAAGCAATGGGACGTGGGAATGTTCGCATACTGAACGAAGCTTAGAAGGCTGTTCAGATTGACAGAGAAATGAGAAGACACGGTAGAGTAGTGCTTGGAATCTACCAGAGCAGATGGAAAGGATGTGGACTCTCCTGTGAATTGTTAACTGAAGAGTCATTAACTTGCTCCAGTCGCCCAGACGTCAACCAGGAACACACTGACGGAGTCTCTATCTTATGTAGTGGGAACCAATCTCCTGCAAGATTATCACGGCAGGTTTCAAATCATCCAACACTGCACGCCTACAAAAAACACAGAACAAGAGAAGATGAAATATTTCTATAGAAAAAGGTAAACAGTAATGGATAAGATCCCTAATGGAGACATCAAAATTCTAATAGGTTATAAGGACGCCAACCGAACTGAAAGCAGATGATACATGAAGAAGATTCATCATTGATCGAGGAGCCGTTGGCGAAATAAGTGAGGACAGAGAACTCTTCTCATAATTCTGTTCATTCAGTGATTTGGTGGTTGGAGGTAGCGTATAAAAACGCAAAGATATATACAATGAGAAATAGGTTTCGCCACATTGACACACTAAAAATCACATGGACTCCATCTAAACTCAACAGAGTAGAGCCACAGTCCGCTGAATACGAAGTTGGAAATGGGTACAAATATGAGTTCAAAATATTATCTAGTTCAAAGAAACCTCAAGATCAAGCTGAAGGTCTTCCATAAAAACTGGAGATAGATCAAAATTCAGCTTCAATAGTCAGAAACTGAAGGATGAAACTACAAGGGATACCTTCATGAAATATCAGATCAGAGCAAAGTCAGAGACACTACGTGGCATCACTGAATAAGCCTGTGTGGAAGAACATTGGAACTAACTGTCTGAAGGCGATATTCAAGGAAGCGTGTACAACTGTTCTAGGAAGAAAGAAGAGACAAGACAAGGAATGGCTCTCAACGGATGCCTGCAAGCTAATTAATGAGAGGAGGATGGTAAAAAAGAATGGTGACAGTTTCCACACCGATTTCACAGTGATGAATATCTCATTCGCCTTTTTGTTCTTGACTGGCCGGATGTGAAACCCTTATCTGTGGAGTCGACTGAATCTGAAAGGATGCTTCCTAGATAAGTTAAGTAGTTCGACCGAGTGGCTTCTCAGAAATCAGATGTATTTTCAATTAATTTGACTCTTTCTGATGAATTAAACCAAGTAAACCACTGATGGGCTTGACTTCAAACAAGTGAATCAACCGGCCGGTGTTTAGTTCACCTCGGTTTGGCCAGTGGGTAAATACTGCTGGCTGATATGAGTAGTACACAACAAACTCATCCGATCAATGAGTAGTACATAGTTCTATGAAAACATCAATTTATATTTTGATCTCACTACGTGGTAAGTATTATAATTATATCTACCATAATTACATTAAGTAACTTAAAGACAGACAGAGGAAAGCCACAAAAGTAACTCAGCATTATTTAGTAGAAAAAGTAACTTGACAGATCTCAAAGTCCCAGATAATTTGACGTATCCATAGTAACGCAAAAATCAGACTAATCATCGTTTTTAATTGATGGATAGTGACTAGCAATGGAATCCAGGATAAAGCGCATTTCGTCCTATTTGGGACTCGTTAGCTGAATTTCTCAGTGAATGATGATGTTCCCATAGACGGGAAAATCTCAAATTCAATTAAAAATAATCATTGTTTTGTTTGTTTGTTTGTTTTGCTTTTTTCCAGATCCTTATGATTCATCTAAGCTTAGTGAAATTTCAGATTATTGATCCAGAGTGTAGAACTAATATTATTGAAATATACGATGAATTCTTTCTAACCGATAAAGATGCAATCCCCAAAACACCGTCAATACTGTCGAAAATTAGTAAAGGCAGTCAAGTAGTACAACGTGTCAATGAAAAGTACACTCCGAGAATGATTCACACTTGTAATAAGAAAAATTTAGAACCGTATACATGTAAATTAGGCCGAGGTGTTGTGCGTATTCTAGTTTCACCAGAACCAGTGTCAGTTGATCCTATGGAATACACTCAAACGAATGCAACGAAATCAATAACTAAGCTGCCTGAGATCAAGTTAACGGCTACAGTATTGAAAAATGGTAAGATGTGTAGTAATCTGCTGTATTACAAATCTTTTGTGTTTGTTTTAATTCACTATAAATGAAAAAAGTTGGCACAATTTAAATTTTTACAAGACTGAGCTGGAGTAATGTAACGACAGAAGACAAGGGCTACGCAACAGCTCGTTTATTGAGAAAAAAAAACAGATATTTATAGATTTTTATGCATATTATTGCCAGTGAAGAAGCGACGTCTTCTGATTGGTTGTTTTCCCATTGAAGGTTATTTTGTACTGCTTGTGACCGTTTCTCAGAAAGTTAAGCCATATATATCCGCAAATCACATGATTGGTTGTTGAGTTCCTCAAGGTTAGGCTTTGTTATTGTTTTTCTCATCACCCGATTCGAGACGTACACATTGACGTAAATTTCTGTTTGCAATTTCCGCTTTTTTGCAGCCAGCTCTCAACATAGTAGTAGCAGCAGTCTTTCACTTCCATGAATCTAAGTTTTCAATGAAGACCATAACTTCATTTTTCCTTTTTTGAGAAGTAGCCTTGAAGAGGTTGCCTATAATCACCGTTTTGAAATCCTCCCTGAATGATTATATTTGAGCAAAATGCAGAAGCAGGCACCAAAGGCAGGACTTACTTCAAGCAAAAGTAGAGAAGGCAACAACGACAGCCTCCAGTTTCTATCAACGGAAGAAATTTCAAACGCATCACTTCCCTCACTTATCTGGCTAGGCAGCATCGGTTCAACTAAAGGCGACTCCGTAGACGAGGATTTTAAGTCTGGTCAAAATTGGAACGGGGAAACAGACTCGACTTTTTAACACCAATGTCGAGTCAGTCAGTCAATTCTTCCATATTGGTCAGAAACTTGACTTGCGCGTCAAGCGAAGCACTTCTGACAGCCAGCTTCAGACTTTTTTCAGAAACTGCCTTCAACAACTGGCTCCATATTGAAGATCATATGGCTGGCCAAAAGGAATTAGTGAGAGAAACCTTTGACAATGAACTAAACAACCCAGAACCTGTTGTTCAACAAATGGATCTGACACTCACTGAGGAGACTGTCAAATGATATTGAGAACCAGGCCATCACTCAAGTGGAACCTGAATGGGAAACGGCGAATTGGGCATGTGTCAGAGGGCGAGATGGAGGTGCTTGTGTGAGAGGAGATGAGAGACTATGGAGAATCTTGGGGCTCGGCTGAAGAGGACCACAGAGAACAAGACAACGTTGTGATATGCTGTTGAAGCTCCACGCTGAAATTTGAAACCCAAGGGAACAATAAAAATAATAAAGACAGCAACAAAAAAGCTTGCTGGCTTTTGATATATCACCAGTTAGTACTGACACTTCAACGACGTCGTGAGGTTAATTCTTAGTCTTTATCAGTTCACTATATCTAGCAGCAATGATATCCAGGAGACGCGTTTCAGCCAATGGCCTAGGGTAAAACATTTTGATTTTTCCAGCCATACTTGCTAGGTTTGAGCCTAGCTGTTAAGTCAGTCACAATTTAATCCATTTGACCAGTCTTAATCTGGGGTGAAGAGAGCGTTTTGAATACCAATGATATAAAATAACTCATGCAACTCTATAGAGTTTCTCCTATCACGCACACGGTGATTGATTTTATGAAAACACCTATAACCAAAGAGATGAAGTTCCCATGGGGTCTCCATTAGGACGTCTGCAAGCGGATGTCTTCATGGAGAGCATGAAGAGAGGACTATTGAAAGAAACAACCCCAAGTCTCCATATGTACTAGTGATATATTGATGACATCTTCATTATTTGTGATGAATATTGTTCAACTGCTGAGCTTCTTGAAAGATTTAATGGTGTTCACTCATCTATGCTTTTCACTGTCGAAGAATCGAACTCCGCATTTCACTTCTTAGATTTGATGCTAGACAGAAGAGAGGACGACACGTTAAAAAGGACGACATACCGAAAGCCAACATTTACAGAGAAGTACACTAACTTCAACAGTTGGGTACATCTAGGCAGGAAGAGGAATCTTGTCCGTTCTCTTTGCTGCAGAATTCGAAAAGTTCGCTCTGTAGACACGGCGGACATAGAACCAGAAATAATGGATATCCCAGAAGTTTTACCGACGGAAACATAAAGAAAGAAACCATCTCCAGGCAAATCACGGTGCCAAAGAAGACACTGTTTATGAGTTTAGCTTTCGAATGGTGAAAGTATTTCTGAAGTAATTAAAAGTCGTTTATCTAAATGTATTAAACGATGTTTCTATGCATCTGACTTACATTTAGTATTTACCAGCCGAAAGACGATTAGACAATGCGTCAAGGATAAACTATAGCTTATGTCCCCCTCTATATGCATATACCCATTCACATTCTCCCGTGGAGCTGATTACATTGGACGTAGTAAGCGTGATCTCCGTAAACGCGTAGCTGAAAACTATCCGGTTTGGTTAATGAAAAGTGAGAAAAGGAGGACAAAGTTTTCAATCTGTGAACACCTTCTGCCGTCAGGCCTTTAAAGTTATCTACAGGACCAAATCCAACCACTTCAAAAGCTTACGTTTTTTCCACTGATGTACAGCCAAAGCTCTAGCTATACATGGACGGAAATCTAAATTATGTATTCAAAAGGCGTTTTGTCACACTCCTTTCTTTACCTTCATTATAGTAATGTTCTTTTATTTAATTCTATTTTGATTGTACACTAGTAACTAGTGTGACGCGTCTAGTCCTTTCTTTGGTGTAGACTGAATTCTATCAGTCAGGTTTGCAATGTGGCCACCATTCTAGGTGGCTCGCTATCACGGTGCACATTGATTTGATGATATTAGATAGTTGGAGGCAATCGGCTGGAAGCCTCACCTGTCCCAGGTTTCGTGCTAGTTGGCACTCACCAGTCAGCAAGGTGTATCTGCAATCTTGAAGGAACTCATCTCCCGCGTCACCCAGTTCTGCAGTCAGAGACGTTACCACTGAGCTATTCGGGCTCGCGATTGAACTCCTGTAGGACTGTAGCTGGTAATGTCCAATCAAACTACCCACTACAGTCCTACAGGATGTCAATCGCGAGCCCGAATAGCTCAGTGGTAAGGTCTCTGACTGCTGCAATCACTGGGTGATGCGGTTCGAATCTCGGAAGGGACATGAGTTCCTTCAAGGTTACAGATACGCCTTGCTGACAGGTGAGTGCCAACTAGCACGAAACCTAGGACAGGTGAGGCTTCCAGCCGATTGCCTCCAACTATCTAATATCATTAATTCTATTTTACCACTTGAATTCATTCCACTTCACTTCACCTTCGCCGTCTTTACCATCATCATCATCATCGTACTATTAATTTTTCAGAGAACACCTGACCTACAATTTTAAAATCTTTATGCCAGTCCACTTATTTAATAATCTTTAAAAGGCTTGTAATTCATCCACTTCAACTCTACCCACTTATTAAATCATTTTAATTATCTTTATTCTAATCATCATATGTGCAAAATTGACTGAACGATTTCTAGTGCCAATTTAAACCATTTTCCGTAATATAAATACGACTGTACGGTTGTTGCTTGAAAATGAAGTCGTTAGAAAGAAATAGTATTTCTTCGCTGAACAAAAACTGTGTTTTTTCCCTCATGAATTAATGAGCATATTTATCAACCATCCATATACCCATTTATCATAGTAAATATTTTCATATTCAATTTTTCCCCCATAACTTGATAAAATTATGACTCTCCTTTGGTTTAGAAAAACAAAAACATAAATATTATTCGTTTTCATTTGAATGACAGACACTGTTGAAAATGAAGCAATAAAGATACATTCAAATAATGCACAATATAAGTCAATTTCAAATAAATGAAATTGTGTACAATTGTTTCAATTTTTACCTGTTGATTAAAACATCATAAAATTGCCTATCAAATTAAAAAGTTTTCAACTGAACAGTTTTATTAAAAGCAACCACTTCTAAATTCTGTATCTAGTTCTCAAAATTAGTGAGAAGGTAATTTAAAATTGATTTAACCAATGGTAGAGAAGTTAATCGAAAACAGACGACAATTTTTCTGAAGAAAATGACAATGTTTCAATTGAAGAATAGATTTGCTTGAAATTATTTTGTCATTTATGTGAACGTTACAGAATTTCATCATGAGCTGACATTAGTTAGGGAACCATTAGAAAACCACCTGGGAGTACTGCCACACAGCTGTTTCCTCTGTCCTAGTTTGGGACTGTTCAGCAGTACGCACCCACTACACTGCCAAAGTTCGAACGCAGAACCTTCTGGTTACGAGGCAAGCTCGTAGACCATTAAGCCACTGGGTGGGACACGATCCAATGGCCCATGAATTCTAACTTCAGACAATTCACTACATAGAGCCAGTGTTTTTGGCGACTATTTGTTCTCACACCCTAATGGTCACGACTTACTACTAGAACACGAAATAACTACCTACCTGAATAGGGCAAGTCAGCTCATGATGAAATCCTGTAACCAATCAAATCCCTACACAAACCAACACTTGATTATTATGTGAACGGTAAATAAATACCACAGCTGAGTTAGTTTTGATAACGTCGTCAAAATTTTTTATGCGTTGATATGACTAGGACTAACAATTATAGCGCTGAGACTAGGGTTTCTGTCTGTCTGTCTGGATTCAACATAGAACTTGGCACCGAAGTGCACCACTTCGAGTTGCCACGTTCCAAATAGCACACAAAGGTAGACAAGAAGATGAGTGAAGAGAATCAATACAGTCTGACAAGTATAAGAGTGAAACAGAATGGGTAATGGTAGAAAGGAATATGAAAGATTACAGAGACTGAATACATCTGCGCCGTCATTGACAACGATTTTGAGCCATGTCACCTATTGTCTCCAGCCATTGATTCCTAGAGTCCCGTGGACCCCAACCCGGGAGTCTGCATCTTCCTACCTGACTCAGTTTAACTGTCAAGGATTTCATGGATTGATGAGGCCATGTTTTTGTTTGGCCACCACTTACCCTTTTCCAACCTGCTCCTATATCAGC